CTGGGCTGAGAGTGAGAGTGGCTTCCAGCCCCTCAGGGCTCAGCCTGCTGTCCCGTCCCGTCCCCCCCCCCAACCCCCCCGCACTTGTTTTCTCTCCCAAATTAATGACCAAAAAAAGCGTGTCCCCGCGCGGGGACGCTGGCAGCCAGGCAGGGGGTGCTGAGACCCGGGGGGGGGGCAGAAACTCGCCGCACTGATGACAGACACAACTCGTGGCACGTGGCGTCGGGGTGTCCCCAGGTCACCCCCTCCCGGCTTTGTCGTGCCCCCAGGGAGGAAAACTGTGTCAACTGCTTGTCTCACACTGATGGGAATGGGGTTTTGGGGCAAAGTGCCTTTTTCCTGGCTTTTTCCCCCATCTGGCCCCTGTTCCTCCTGCTTCCCTGCAGGGTGATGGATGCCTGCTGGGGGCTGGCAGGAGGAAGAGGAAGAGGAAGAGGGGGGTCCAGACCTCCTGCAGCTCTTTGGGAACGTGCTCTGGGTCTTGCAACGTCCTGGTCCTGAGGAGCCACCACCAGCCCCAGCACTCGTAAATATTAACCCCCCCCAATTCATGCAGAGCCACTTCCCCCATGGCCCAAGGGACAACATCTGGGGTGATGCTCTCGGACCTTGCCAAGCCAGGTGGTACCCAGCCCTTGTACCACCACAGGATGAGCCAGCAGCTGCCTGTCCCTCTGTCCATCCGTCCGTCCCTCTCCCACGTGTGGCCGGGGCAGCTGGCTGGAGCGTGGTGGCCCGAGTGTCCTTATGGAGCAGGACAAACGTTCCAACCCTTCAGCAAACATCCCTCCTGCCTGGCCCTGCTCTCCTCGTCACCACTGATGGATGAGCTCAGAGCCCCCCACCCCATTTTGGGACCCCCATGCTCCATCCAGCCCTGATTTCACCCCCTTCGTCCTTTCTGCTGCCTCTAGGAGACCTTCTGAGGTGCTGGACCTCACCATCTCCTGCTGGCACCTGTAGGGCTGGTGAGTTGTCACAGCAGGCTGGGGTGGGTGGTGGGGTGAAACCCCCAGGTCTTGGGGGGAGGCACAAAGTTGTGGGGTCCCACAGAGTGGGGGTCACATAAGGCTTTGTGTCAGATGGACGTCAGTCCTCACTGCAGCACAGGCATCACCCTGTGGTTGAAGAAGACCCCTGAGGTCCTACCAACAATGCAGCAGGGTGCTAACCCCTCCCAGAGGGTGATATCATCATCTCCTGAGGTCCAGGCTCTGCTTTCTCCCAGCCTGCTCTCCTCTGTAAAGCCCTGAGGGTGCTAATTGGCCTTAATTGCTCTAAACAGCTTCACCTGAGGCCTCCACCGCACACCCATGGGCCCAGGAGCCCATTTACGCTCAGGGTGGGGTCTCCAACTCCTCTCTGAGCTGTGTTGGAGCTTCTCAGGCCCACCACGGTTATGGACCCTGCTGGCTCCTCAGCTTGACCTTGGTGCACCTGGGCCTGCTGGCTGGGTCATCACTCCCATGGGAGCTGCTGGCCCTTCCTGTGTCCCAGGCACAGGGACATGCATCTCCTCAGCTCCATGGTGAGGCT